ACATCTTTAATTGAAGTAATAATATAAACAAATATTTGGTTTTTGGTCGAATAATACAGTAGATAAATGAATGATGATACTTTATGGCAAATCTGTGCATGCATACCTTTAGTTTACGACCAAATTATGAAAATCGGTCAGGTAGAAGGGGAAAAACTCGGAAAAGAAAAGCCAAATTTAAATCCTATACATACTGTGTGCAAGTTACGTCTTGAAACAAATCCATATTTTTTAAACCGAAATAGATAGAAATATTATGTTTGTGATGTTGATTAATAAAGGTTATGTATTTTTTTACATCAACAATATTTTTTAACCCCCCTAACGGGGTGGGGGTGACTTATTTTTTTCAGATAGCAACCCCTATCGAATGACCCCTCATTTTGAAGAATTTGTCAAAAGAAACACAATGACGCAACCCCGAGGTGGATATCTCACCTCTAGCCAAAATGCCAGGTTTTCCAAAATTTGATTTACTGTATGTGAAAATGCACCAATTTCAAAAATATGGAAACAAATCTGTATTTAAAAAAATCCTGAGGTAGATGTTTCGTCCCTTACCTAAATGGCTAGCATTCCAAAATTTGATTTATGTGAAAAAGCACCCATTTTGGAATATCCGTAATTTTTTTAGGGGTAAAATATTCACCTCGGGTTTGCGCCATTGTGGTTCTTTTGACAAGCCCTTCAAAATGAGGGGTCGCTCGATAGGGGTTGCTACTTGAAATAAAGAAAGTCACCCCCTACCCTGTTAGGGGGGTTAAAAAAAAATTAGTGTAAAAAATTGCGGAACCTTTGTTAAGAATCAATGCTACAAACAGAATATTTTTATCTATTTCTGTTTAAAATATACATATTTGTCTCGATACTTAATTTACACACTGTATAAGAAATGTACAGGGAGGAGTTGCCTTTGAGCATAACTCAAAATATATGCCAGGACCAATATTATTAAGAAAATCGGTCAGGTAGAAGAACCGAACAAACTTGGAAAAGAAAAAAATAACAATATTATTTAATATCTAGTTTTAAAATGTTTGGACTCTAATTAGTATACTAGATATTTACATTATAATAACTTTTGAGTTCAAAAAACTAGCTTTACAACTCTTCAGCAGCTGTTTGAAATTATCCAAGATGGCCGCTAGCCTTCAAAAAGGACTCTTAATCCTTAGTAGTTAAATTATAGAGCCTACGCATGACTGATCATTTCAAACGTTCATCTTGTATAGGACCTTTTTTGTACTTTTAGCATTGGTATGAATTTAACAACTTACAATATTGCAATTTATCCAAGTATACCTAAAAAGCTGGAATTGAAAAAAATACCACCCCCCTCCGCCCCTAAGACGGATATTCCTTCGAACTAACCATACATACAGTAAACTGGTAACTTGGTTAATAAACGTAGACTTACAAGTTTTTACAAAATTTCCTCAAAATCAGATAATTTTTTCCTTGTTCTATCCATCATGGTAACAGACACGTGTATACATTTGAGCCGATGGTCTTTTTGGCCTCTGGGGACATCAAAATACAAAGTACTGTAAGTTGGTCCTAAGTACCAACACAGTACATTATTGGCATATTTCCATCGTGGGAAATTCGCTGAAAGATATTGGAACATTTGCCGTCTATCCAATAAGGCATAAGGCGGAGCACATGAAAAGAGCCCGAAATTTTAATCCCCGAAAAGGTTTACTAATCATATGCCTGAAAAGAGCCTGGTCTCAGGTCTCCATAGGTACATGAGGACGAGGATAGTGACTTCTATTCAAGTAGATTTTTACATAAGACAAAATAGTGCCTGCAGGCTGGAAGCAACAATACACCTACCGCAGCAAACCTGCAGACTAAGCTAATTTCCATTTGCTTGATTGGATTTTCAATTAAATATATTTTTGAATATCATTAGGTTTAACAAGTACCTAGGTCTGCTGCTACATGGAGAATAATGATGTGCTTTTAATAAAAATATAGCTTAAGTATAAAATAAATAAATTTGCCAATCTTTATCTAAATATATCCATAAGCAAGCAAGCTAAAACAGTAAACTTATTCTCCACAAGTTTACCGACCCACCGTTCTCTTGCCGTTTGCCGTGATTTCTTACCGTTCCACCTACGGTAATAGCTACTTCCGTATTGGTGAATTCTAAAAAAAATATGTTTGGGGTAGGAATTTTGTAATAACAAGCTAGGTGTTAAAGAACTGTCATAACGACCATATGACATTTACAAAATGCGTTGGAAATAGATCCTCGCCTCACATGTAAATAAGCCTATCTTTTTACAATGTAAATATCTTGTAATAATATAAATCTATTAACAATGTACTGCATATTTTAATATTGTAAATAAAATTCACGTATTTTAACTGTCATTGTTTCTTTCTCCTTTGACGACCCACTGTGAAAGTTTTATAGAACAGTATTAGGACGAGCCCTGGATCTTTTCGGACCGTCCTGGAAGGGACCTTGAAGGTTCCGGGCTCTTTTCAGGCGTATACCCGATTTTTTTACTTTCTCCCCCTATACCATAGTATATGGAGAAAGTATTGTTTTCGTCAAAATTTTCGAGTATGAGTTTTGAGTGGATATATTCGTTTTGGCTCCCCCTGGACCCAAAAAAGTGGTTTTCGAAGTGATGTCTGTGTGTGTGTGTGTCTGGATGTGTACAGAGCTAGAGACTACACCTGTGGTCCGATTTCGATGACATTTGGTATGTAGGTTCTAATCCATCGTATCTCCAGGCGTTTTTTTAATTTTTTCGAAATTTTTATTTTTAATGGGGAATTTCCCATAAAAACCCATAATAAACCGGAAAAATCGATGTTTCCCAAAAATGGCCCGAACGATTTCAATAAAAATTTAGTATGTTGTAGCGTTTTAAATTCTGAACAAAATGGTACAAATCCCATATGTCTAAAAATTACGGTTCAAAAGTTATGGTAAATTATGTTATTTTCCATAAAAACCCCATAAAATAACGAAAAATAGGATTTAAAAAAAACCGGTTTTTATTTAACATAGTATGTAATGGTCCTTACAACATTCGTAGTTTTTTTCAATTTTTTAGAAATTTTGATATTTAATGGGGATTTTCCCATAAAATAACGGAAAAATAGGATTTTCCCAAAAACGGCCCGAACGATTTTGATAAAAATGTAGTATGTCATTGTCCTTTATATTCTGAACAAAATGGTAAAAATCCCATTTCTGTAAAAATTACCGGTCAAAAGTTATTGTAGATTATGTTATTTTCCCATAAAACCCCATAAAATAACGGGAAAATCCGATTTTCACAAAAATGGCCCGAACGATTTTGATAAAAATTATAATCCTTTAAATTATGATCAAAATTGTACTAATCCCATTTCCGTATATTTACTCTCACTGCTTACACGTGATAAAGGTTGTTGACAAACTTATGGGAGAAAGTATGTGTCAGAATGCTGATACCGTTTATTATCTTTTCAAGTGCGTCCGCCTAAGGCATGTACAAAAACCTCCTGTGGTTTGGATTATAGGGGGCAAAAAGACTAAGGAGTTTTTTTCTTATTGAATTTTACTAACGGTGATTAGATCATAAATTATGCTCAGTCGACCAGTTTCTAAAAAAAATTGAAAATGTTAAAAAATGTATTAGTTTTTATTACTTACCTTGAAATAGGAATTGGTAGAAATCTATCAAATCACGGCACGGCATCTGATGATGAACTACACTATTTCACTGTGTTTTCACCCAGGTTAAAACTTAAAGGAATGATTTTAACAAATCATAGCTTGTTTTACCTACACACTGCCCATTCTTGTGTTTTATTTTTTTATTGTACCAAACTAGCAATATAATTTTTGGTCAATAATCAATTAAAGCAATTTTTTTATTAATCGTTAGCCCAGTTTTTTACTTTTATCTAATTTTAATTGGTGTCTCATCCAAGGCATACAGATAAGATACATGATTTTGTGACAGCCTCGGAAAAAAACTAATAAAGCATGTACAATATTTTACAAAATACGTTGCAAAATTGTTTACATTGTGATCAAATCTTTGTATGTGTTCTGTCGGCCAGGTCCAATGTGACAGACTGACTGTTCTGTTATATAAATTTTGAAAGAACTTCAAAACAAAACCACAACAGTATTTTTACAGGCATTTAGTACTTGAGGGTCTCCAAACCATTTTTCTCATATCTTGGACCAGCTAGCATTTTGTTTGAAGGGTTAAAATGGCATTTTCTTTTAAGTGCCAGAGGTATTATGCGTTTAATCAGGAACAACCTTTCTGTCAAAAAAACATGTAGTTTTTCGGAGATTTTTAGGGCGAAATAAGTGTGATTTAAGAAGAAATAAAGTAATAAAATAGCCTTATAATCACAGTGTGGTATTTATCAAAAGTTTGTTTGGAGACCCTTAAGTAAACAAATGACTAGTATTTGCTAGACAATTTGTTGATAAAATAACCAGTTATAACTCCTACGTTCAGGCAAACCATTTCATGACCCCTGTATAAAATTAAATCAATTTTTCTTTATGATCACTGTTGCTTTATAAAACTTAAATACTTCTATGATAAATTTAACACAAACTCCTTTATTGTTAATCAATCTACTGGAATTTAAATACTGTACCAAAACATATCCAACTTAAAAGTAAACTGTAATTTACAATATCGTATATCGCTGAGATTTCAGTCAACCAGTTTACAACAAAGAAATGGATAACATTAGTTTTAAATTAACGTTTAAAGAAAAAATTGAATGTAGTAAAACTTTTGTTGTCGCTAAGTTAAAACAATTGAAATAAAATAACTACAAATACCTAAGAGTTTATTGATGAAAAATGTTTTAATATTTAGTGAACTTGCAAAAGTTAATTTTAAATATTTAATTATGTTTCAACCCAAGGATACTGGTTTGACAATAATACACGTTGTGACAAAGCATACACTTTTATTTTAAATAACTTTCAAAACAAATTACAGTACTATAAAGCTACATTTTGACAACAGTCTTTATTAGAGCAAATAAAAAATTACAACGCTTTAACAATGCAAAAAACAAAACATATAAAACTGTACATATTTTATTTACAACAAATTATTTACAAATTGTAAAATGCAAAAAAGTTAGGAAAAAAATCACTATCTTTTATATTTGCATAAGCATCTTCGCAAGTGTTTTCTGAGTTAAATTTTCATTTATAGTGCACTTTTTTTTAACACTGAGACTTTAGTACTGAACTAAGAAAATAACCAATTGATTTATTGACACAAATAATAAATATATTATGTTGCATGCCATAGATAAAACATAATCCTGTATGTTACGACATACAAATAAATTAATGAAGCAAATGAATTATATAGATTTTTAATATTTTACTGTACGAGGACATTTCTATGTGTGTTTCATAGGCATTTCAAATACTGGCAATTCATTCAGAGTAAGAGTTGGATTGCACATAGTACAAATAATAATGCAATAAATAATATGTTTTTCTATATAGTGAAAATTACAGTCCCACTCTTTGAATTCATCACCACATATATATACACCACAAAACATGCACATAAAACGGCCCTTGAGAGTAAAAACCGCTTAAATATTTACAAATGAGTATGTTATTTAAATATTCAAAGTTTGATATAAAAATATGAAAAATTTACAAACATTAAAACATGATAACTTTCATTTGTATTAAAATTACATTTCATAGCATATAAGGTAAATATTTGTACTGTCAATATTATGTCAAATATTCTACTAACAGACCTAACCTTGATTCTCTTCTATTTCTTGATACCTAATATACATCATTTTCCTCACACAGTCCTTATAAGTTTCTCCTGGGCCTGGCACTACGCCAGTAGTTTTTGTACCCAACCCTGCAGTTGCTGATCTTCTTTCCGCTTCAATAATCGTCGTCCTTCCTTGGTTCTTCTTACCAAGACCCATGCCTTCTTGCCACCCCATTTTTTGCAGAAGCTTATTTCCCAAGTTGTCGGATCCAATACCCATTTTGGTTGGCTCTTCGTAACTGATTGTCGCTTCCTTTGATTTAATGTAAGTCTCTTTTAATTTGTTAGGCTGTGGTTTGTCTGGCTCTCCATATTTTAACCTTCTCTCTTTTGCCCTATCTCTGTATTGCATTGTTCTTTTCTGCGCATCGTCAGGGTCCAAACCTCTCGACTTGTACCATTTGTTCAGATTCTGCTTATGCAAGTCTGACAGCTGGGTGTGTTTGACCAGGATATCTTTGCTAGGGAACTGTCTCTTGCACAATAGACAAGCCAGTTTTGACCAATCGACATGTTGTTTTTCCTCACCTTCAACAGTCTCTTCTGGCTCTTCTTCACTGTCACTGCCATTACCATATGCAGCAACCAGGCTGTCTTGTTGCTGTTGGGTTTTTGGCGGTGATGAAGTTACTGACATTCCACTGGGGATAGTTACATCTTTTCTTTCGAGTACAGCAAAACCTATGTCTGCAGCTCCTTGGGTTCTAAGAGAAGCAGTGTTCACAGACTGCTGTGCAACCAGGTTTTGTTTGGCAATTTCTTTTTTATGATTCAAAGTCTTTGCCCACTTTTCCATATCTTTAGCAATTCTTTTAGCAACTTTTACCTTGTCTTTATCACTAGTTTTGTCTTTTATTTTCTTGTCATCATCTTTAAGATCTCCATTTTCTAGAGCGTCAGAAATTCCAGCAGCACTAGCAATAGATGCCATAGCACCTGAGGTAGTAGCAGCAGTTGGTGCCGGCATAAAAGTATTTCTATTGGAATCCCAGTACAAAAATTTTGCTAACTTTGAATTATAGTAGTACTGGGAATTAGCATCATAGTAAAGAGTTGTATAAGGGTCATAGTAATAACCTGAGGTTTTATCGTACTGATAGGTGCTGACATCAGGAATACAGTAAGTCCTAGACCCTGACCCATCAGGAGCCTCTGTCAGTGGGGCTGTGCTTGATGTGCTACTAGCAGCTGGTTTTGCTAGGTTTTCTGCAGAAGAATCTGAAGGCAATGAGATCTGACCTCCTTCTGAAATCAATTTGTGATAGTACTGCTGATAATATGTTAAATAGGTATTTTTCTCTTCAGGAGTCTTTGCATACAAATTTGCACTGTACTCAGCTAGGCGACTTACATCTTTCAGAGTATACTGACTCATTTCCCCAGTCTTCTGATGACTCCACTGAGCAGCTTCAACTGCTGAATTTCCTGCCTTAGATGCCTGAATGATGGCACTCTGAGAAGCTGTGTCTGATTTGTAGTATGAAACTAATGGAGTTTTTCCATCAATTTCAGGTGATGCCATTAAAAGTGCATTATGTAGAAATGTAGCATCCATGACATAGTTCATTTCAATATAACAGACTCCTAAAGATGTACTAGTAACTGGATCCCTTCCAATACGGACACTTTTTATAGGAAGATTGGAGAGTACTTGAATTGCTTCAAGTACGTTTGCCTCAGTTGTCAAAGTGTCTAATCCTCGAAGAAGAACTGTGTTGGTAGGGTATGCACTAACTTCATCAGCAATAGCATCTTCTCTAGTGCACCCACATTTATAACAAATATCTCGTCTCTTGAAATTGTGTGCTGAGCACTTGCAATGCCAATCACTATAATAATGTAATCGAGTATCTTTAGGTAGACTAAACTGCATGATAGCTCTGTAGTGGTTGTTTAGCATCAATTCTCCATTTTTTAACTCCATACATTTTACAGCCTCTTCTGTAGAAGCAAACTCAACAAATGCAAATCCTCTAGAGGTGCCATTTTTTCTTCTGATCATGCGAATATCTGATGGGTCAAGACCACATTTGGCAATTTCTTGTCTAATATCATTTTCAGTTATATGTTGAGCCAGACCTCTAATGATTATAGTTCTGTTTTGCATAGGTTGAACACCAGCTGGTAGTTCTGGCCAATCATTTCTTAAATCTGATAAATCGTTGTTCCAAGAAGAATTACTACTCTCATATCCATCTGATTTTCCCCAAACCTTTTCCAACCAATCATCTTTTTGACTACCCCCTTGAGTGCTACTCCATTCCCTGTTACTGAAATCCCTGTCCTTTCCAGATTCATCATCCCAATTCCTCCTATCTCCCCTGAAACCCCTGCCTCGTGTTTCCTCATCATTCCAATTTTTTCTCAACTTCTCATCATCCCACCCTCTTCCTGGAGAACCCCTATAGCCCCGTCTTTCCCTAGAACTTGAACGTCTCCTATCACGACCACGATCCCTTTCCCTTGACCTACTTCTTGATCTTCTATCACGCGGACGCCTTTCTTCATTGTCAAGGAACCTGTTTACAGAATTTTCCCAGGAATCTCTTTCTCTCCCGCCCCTACTTTCCCAATCTCGAGACATGCCCGAGTCCCGTTGTCTGGAATACTCTTCAGGGTTATCGGACCTCTGGTAGTAGGCGCTGCCACCATCGAAGCCTCTCCGGTCCATGCCAATCTAATGTTCATAATAACCAACATAATCAAAAACCAATTAGTCAATTGCATTTAAATGACAGATAAATTATAATTGCATTTGGTAACCAGTCCAGTCCATATCTGCCCTCTGGGGCTACACATAGAAAAAAATACCATATACAACACAATTAAACACAGCTGACAGGTAGCTTTTAAAACTCCATCTTTGGTAAAGCTGAAAAAATCATTAACCCTCCATACAATTTAAAAAATAGCTTCTAAATACACCTGAAAATAATTACACAATTAACAAAATCAAAGAAACAACCATTAAAATACGGGTAATGTTGTGTGCAGACTAAAATTGCACCAACTGAATTACGGGTATCATGTTTTGGCAGAAAAACCATAATAAGAAAAATGATGGAATGGTGGCGGATTTCTTTCAACCCTATAGTAAGTGGACAAACTATCTGAACCTTAATTTGTATAAAGGAATTTGAAAATGGTCAAAGACCATGTGAACTTAGATGAAACTTGTGCAAACAGACAGACAGACTAGTTTACTGGATGGGAATAGAATAATGAGTACCATTCAGGCACTATTGTGAATCAAATTATATCTTATATTTTCCTATGATGGATTGTCATCTTACAATGGGAAAATATGTTAGTATACTATGAATAACATACTTTTGGTCTTTTCAAATACAAGAATAACAATAATGAAAATTCAATCATGCCAAGTAATAATAAAAAAACCCATACATAAAGACTGTTTTACGAGGCAAAACCATGAAGAAATAAAAAAATTGCTTTTATCATTAAAAAATTAAGGAGGATTCTGTAATGAATGCTGTTTGGCCATACATTTTTAACAACTAAAAATATGTATTTTTAAAAGCCGTCATACACAATTTTAATTGTTTCATAGTTTTATTTTTTATGTAAGCCCTTTGGCAACAGACCCAAAAAACAAATTGGAAAAATCGGAAGGTGTTCTCCTAAGGGGTAATAAAAAGTTAAATTTGTTGAAATGTTAAAAAAATTTAATCAACTTGCTGTTGGTTGAACATAAGATTTTTAGGTTTTATATGCTGATGTAAGGCATGTGTGATGTGATCAAAGTAACATTATTAGATAAATAAACAAGTCCTCGCCACCTTAACTTGGGGCAGCCCAAACTGACCTGCAGGGCCATTAACAGCTGGCAACACACGCCCCTTTTACAATCCTATTAGCAACGCTTCTGTGAACGTCCTAGTTCAATAATTAATAAAAGTATAATCTGATATATTAATTTACTCGTTTACATTAATAACATAAATTTAACACACATTTCTATTTCTATCCTGTCTAAAACAGACAGTTTTTACGGTTTTTGAGCTATAAACAAAGTATCAAGGGTAACATAAGAATAAACTGTAAACATTGTCCGATTTGGATGGAACACAAACAGAAATGTTTGTTTAATCAATGTCACTAACTTAAACTAGTAAATTAATACATTAGATTATCGTTTTATTGAACTAGGACAGTCGCTAATAAGATTGTAAAAGGGTCACGCGGGTAATGGTCCTGCAGGTCAGTTTGGGCTGCCTCATCAAGTTAAGGTGTCGAGGACTATAGATAGTGTTACAAAATTTCCCACACACACAATGAAAGATTTGCTTTTGCTGAGACTCACAAAATGAATCAATAAAGACAGACAGGTTTTGAAATCATGACTTGACAAATGAAGTAACATGGATCAAGATAAGTCAGACAAACCCCAATACAAATTAAAAGCAAACATTAAATTAAATTTACAAACAGGGCAGGAAGAGTGAAAAATGTGATTTGGGGGCCTAATCGTAGTTCTTAAATAAACCTCAATGATACCAAAGACCGTCAGCTGTGCTGCGGTTACCATAGGTTCTGGCGCACACCGCTGGTAGCGCCATGTAGTTGCGGCCTACGCGCTACGTAACTACACGGCACTCCCAGCGGTGTGCGCCAGAACCTATGATATCCATGGTAACCACTGCATGGCTGACAGTCTATATTTAATTCTTTTTGTCTATGGTGATACTGAGAGTCTATTTGAAGTCATCACAGTTTAGACATTTTACCAAGTAGAACCCACAGGAAACAGATTATTTTTATCACAATTTTCTTTTACACAAGTACATGAAAATTCAAAATATATTAAAAACCAACATATTTTGTCCTTACCGTATCAGTGGAGATCCAAAACTTAGAGAAGAATATTGGCACAATCCAGGAAGACTAATTGAGAAATGCTATCCAGTTAGGATTTCTTATCTGTAACAAGTTGTGTAATTGCTGTGGTGAAAGGTTCAACAAGACTTTTAAATTATTCCAATGAACCCTTCGACAAAAATATATGCTGTCCAATTTCATGTCCACATGTTTTGGTAATTGTCCACAATGTCTTTCACACATGAGATTCACAGATGGTAATGCAACTCTTGAGAAAACTGACACTATTCCTGGTTTTATCCAGACCACATGATTATATTGATTACGCTGAGAATTCCTGCTGAACTTCATCTTGAGTTTTAAAATTGTGGAAGGTGCTATTCCACATGGGAAAAGGTCAAAACCATTATTTGTTAAAATGATTGACACAAAAACTTACCACTTCTGATTTTTCTTGAGAAATTACATTGTTTGTCAAAAATGCTCTGCAAGAACAACATTGTCACTGTTCAAGAACCTTGGACAAAGTAGCGTAGAGGATATTTTTTTTGGAATAGATAATGTCAAATATAACACAATTTAAAGAGTAGCAGTAAAACAACTGACGGATGTGCTTCAATTTTATAAACTCCCTTGCAACAACAATTTTAGTGAATGTTAGTTATGTGTTGATGTGGATTTGAATACACAAATATTTATTTTACAGTGTCTCCAAAACAGTCAAATTGCACAATGGCTGTGTACCTAGTAGATTGTGTACAAAAAATAAATGCAAAATAGTGAAACTTGGTGGAAATGGGCTAATTTAACAGCTGAATATGGAAATCAAATTTACAAACATTTTAAAATAGCTGTAACATATTCACTAGATTTTTCTAACTTCAATAAAAAATGTTATAAGAAACATCTAAGATGAATATAGGGTAAAATTGTTGAATAGTTTCCAAAAACCTGAATCCATATCATAAAAAAATCATGTTAAACTGATATTATAAAGCTAGTAATATGTGTGTAGTTATGTAACAGTGTTTTTTTAAGTTACAACCACGAATGATGTGTAGGATATGATTTGTTTGTAGTTATATTCCATGCACTTAAGATGCTTATAAACTAAATTGGAATTGGACCATGACAATGTACCTCCAGTGAAGTGAAGTTCTTTTTATCAGCTGTAGGATCTTATGGTAGTCCAAAGAGCTAGGCTGCTGCTCTGTAAAAGGAGTCACAAGTTTGAAATATAAAGCTTATGTTATTGGTAGCTCAACGATTTTACTGCTGTCCAACACCAAGTGAAGACCAAAATTAGATAGTTGCACCCTGAGATTTATAAAGCCAAAAGGAATAAGAAAAAATACTTGTTACCAAATAACAAGCACACTACTTTAACTATCAGACCACTGTAATGTGTTGCTACTCTGCTTCCGAATCTGAGTTATCATTACGTCGAAATAAAGTATCGTCCATTATGTCCACATTGGTGTAATTTTCTATTCGACTTTTTTCATTTTTCGTTTTCATTTGCCGCAGCTGAAGCATGCTTGTGAGCACGCTGCGTAAGTGTCCACATATGTGCGCTATAAAGTGCTCCTGGCAGAAGAGTAAAATCGTGTAGAAGACATCATGGTGTTTGTATTGTAATTTATTTGTGTGATTATGGATCACGACACTGGCAGTTGCTTGAATTAGTGTTGCTTGTCAAAAGTGTACAACACAAAGCAATATCAAAAGTGCAATATCAGAAGTGTACAAACGCAAAAGAAATGCTTGTTCTGTATGGATTAAAGATTACTTTAAAACAAGAAACTTTAAATATTAAGTAGTTTGGAGCTTAGTGAAAATACTCTGTTTAAAAATTTCACTAGAAATTATCTCTAGAATATCTAGAGATAATTTGTATCACCTGCGCATCAAGGTGTATGATTTTTATACACTGCACAATGCAATAAACAAGTTAAAACAACTCAAAACAACCCTAAGCAGCACGGTAAAACGCAAGAATAACCAAAGTTTTGGTTCAGCTTGCTTTGAGGCATTCAATTCAGAAACTACTCTGGTTTCTCAGAAAAAAAAAGCAGGATTCTCCGCATGTGTCACGTGCTCTACTGCATGTGCTGTGCAGCATGCGTCAAGAGCATGTAAAATCACACAAGTGTGGACATAGCTATTGGTATTATGATGAAATTAAAATTTAATTTTAATGTATGAAATGGATATGTTTCAGTTCAACTTTAGGAAATGAAACAGACTGAGAGAAAAAACTGTAAATTTAAAATTTCAATGTTAGGCATATTCTTATAGAGAATATTTTAAAATGTTGTAGACTGGTTGTTTGTAGATATAGTTTGATAAAATTAAAATTCGCTTAGTCTGCAGGTTTGCTGCAGCAGGGGTATTTTACTACTAGTTACGACTAGACCATGTGAAATTGTATCACATAGGGGTCGGAACCAACTGGAAAAGTAATGGATGAAGTAAACTGCAGTGGTGAACAGGCATTCTCAACACTTAGTCATATGAAAAATAAGTACAGAAATCGTCTCATTGAACATGATGACTTCCGCGTAAATGTTTCAAAGCACGGCCAAATTTTATGAAATTTTAGAGAAAAAAGATGAATTCCATCTCCCACACTAAGAACAGAAGTGGGATTTGTTCGACTTTCAACTACTGTACTGATTTACACTGAATATAACTTAAACATTTGCTTTGTAAAATGAAACTAGATTGGGTTCATGCAACCTTTGGAAATTATTTACTACCCATGCATTTTTATTTTTCATTTGTCATAAGTTATTCCTAATGAAACGTTAACTCTGGTATTTACATTATTTTTAACCTGGACATTCTGCTCCATGAAATTATGAATCATAAATTATGACAATTATTAATGGGTCCCCGACTACTTAGCTAGTTCACTTAGGGGTCCACGATTACCTGTTATTTGGGAACCACCGAAGTAGAGAACACAACGTTGGTCAGATTTGAACTAGCTCACTTGGTAAAAATTGAAGCTCATTGGAGACGATTTAATTACCAGACATTCTTAATTAAATAAATGATAGTATGAACTACGTTAAAAAAATATTTTTACTATATTACTGAACAAATGATAATGGTTTTGTGAGAATTAGGGTTTAGTTTAGCATGAATTTTGGTTAGGTACAATCTTTTGATAAAAATACATAAATCTTGTGTAGCCTATAATGCTAGATACTTGGGGGTTAAAACGTGGATAAAATAAAGACCTAAGGACGTTTTTTAAGTAAAAGGACAGCAAAATCTCCTTGATAAACATTAGGCCCTAAATTCATGATCAATCATTTAAATCATTGCAGTGCATAGTGGAATGAAAATAAAAAGTACCAAACAATTGGGAACTCAATATTTGAGGGAATAGCAAAGATACAAGGTATACAATATTAACTAGGCTACAGTAGAGCTCCAACTATCCGAATCAATTACCTCATTCGGATTTAATCAATAATTTGTATAATTTTACCAAATGTTTACCATTGCGATCGCAGAACGCATATTCAAAGATTTCATGGACAAAAAATTCACTATTAAGACTGCAAAAGACGTGCAAGATTTGTCCACAATCGTGAACAATAGTGAACATGTTTCCATGACCAATGGGCGACCATAAATATTTCTACACGATCATGGGAGTCTGCCTTTTTTCCATAACGATTCTCATAACTGTGATTTTAAGTTTTTAAAACTTATTTCTGTAAGCGATTCGGATAGTTGAAATTCAGATAATTTGAGTTATACTGTACTACCATTGAATTACAAATGTGTGATGAACAAAAATTAGATTGTCAGTATTGATACCTTTGAATCAGAAATATTAAGAAAATACAGAAGTTAGGTAATATAGCTATACCTTTTGATTGAAAGTCTTTCAGGAGAACTGTAGATCAATGAAAATTGAAGAAGATCTTCCTGCTAATATATCTGTAATCCACAAACCATAATGACAGCATAGTAAACATTCAAAAATCAAACAGGAAAAGCACTTTTACGCCCATAATGTTTCAGCAAAGTCTTCTAAAGGCGGGTACCAGGCATCTTCAGAAATGAATAGGAACTGGAGGAGCCAACCAGCTGAACCCAATGGAGAATATAAACTGGGAGATAAACTGTTGAATGTAATATTAATAAGCTGTACAACTTAAAATACACAGTTATCTTTCAATAAGAAAGTTAAATAATGTATATTTATGTATATGTATAATGTATATGTATATTTATCGGAATTTAATGAGGAACCATATTTAAACATTAGTTTTTAAAAAATAAAAAAAATAAGGGAGCTAATTAGATAAAACCGGCATTATGTCACCTTAAACCTGCCTCCTACGAGGTCTGAGTTGGAGACCAAACACCATTGTTCTTTTGGGCCCGAACCATCTCATTTGGGCTCGGACTTGACTCGTGAACCCATAGGGACTAATTATCAGAAGCCAGGACTATCTGTAATTGGACTCGTGAACCCAACTTTTAAAACCGGGTTTTATCCCTGCAATAATTGTGTGCCGCCTATCAGTTTGGTCCGCAGCTTATATAGTCTCGAGCTCGTGAACCCGATTTTTTAAGTCGCGGCCCAAATACCGGTTATTTCCGGATTCTGGGCTCGGACTATGATAGTCCTGAGCTAGTGAACCGCCCCATAGAGGGAGAAACTAGCCATCAGATCCAGTGAATAAAGTATGGAGGGAGAAACTAATTACATTATCCAATCATCAAATTTTTGGGTTACCAGGTACCCAACTAAATTTTCGGTAACACAAGCAACTAGCTAAGAGTAATGTACCTAGTAGGCTTGTTGACAGCAAACAACTAACCTGTAAGTTATTCAATATTATTTGAACCCAGAGACAAGACCTGTAAGAGGCCTATACAATTTTTATTTAGGTACCTATTATGCCTGAAGGTCTTGTAGATTGTTGGACTACTCATTGTGCATTTTGCCGCTCATTGCAGCATCTTCATTGAGTTTTTTTCTTACAGTAATATATACACATATTTACATAAGAGATTTCCTTATTCATTTCACGGTCACATCCGCGGTTGCCTCCGGTGACGGCGACACAAGCGGCAGAGTACATGTTCGTTTTGTTTCGGCACTGTTGGTGGGATTGACTTACTGGGCGAGTGACAGGGACAGGGTTATGGGCAGGGGTTGCAGTCATTGTACACAATCTCCAAGACCTTCAGACATAATAGGTAATAAAATTGTATGGCCTAACCACTATTGACTAATTCATCCCAAATCATCCATAAACGTCGCTTGTATACAAGCAATTGTGTGTAAACTTGTTGTTGCTAAAATTCTGGGGAGTGGCGTGTTAACTACTGTAACCAATAATAATGTATACCATAAAATAACCAATTGGTAGTTCTATGGTTGAAGAGCCCTACGACAAGTCATAATCTGCTAAAATTAAAATTAGCATATCCAAGCGCTTCTGAACCGATTTATAAAAAAAGACCTGTGAAGGACAACGTCTCGGTAAACATACATACGCTGCCGTTCTACACGTTGTTCCATACACGGCCGTTGCGTCAAGAGCTTGCGTTTCCGCATGTACATATTTACATACAAACATGTTTACACAGGTAAAATTAGTGTACAAAATATTTATTTATTAATAAAAACATAATATTTAATACTAAAGTAAACGCCGAACATATTAAGTGCAGTTCATACCAACCGGTGGTGCTTATGGACACCAACACAATTGATGCCTATTTCTCTCCAGTGCAGAACGGACGTAGGTACTAAGCAACTGTGGACCTTGCCATAGCCACCGTCAGCAGTATGATACCAGACAGCCAGAATCGGAATATATAATGGAGAAGTTCCTCATAGCAAACTTATCGCAGGTATCTTATAGCAGAATTATTGGATACAAAATTGGCCAATTTTGCCACCACAGATGACATTACCGACTTAGCCGAGAGGTTAACAAGTCTGGAAGGCTACAAATAAGCCCTTGAATGAAGTTAAAGCTCTGAAGGCAATGAGAAACAAATGTACATACAATTAACTTAAATGGACCATGAGGGCAGGTCCAGAATAAAAAACCTGATCTTCAGAGGACTTGACTTACCACCTACAGCTTAAGATTAAACACTGCATTAAAAGATTCCCCGCTGATAAGCTCAGTTACACTATGGAAGTAAGAATCAATAAAGCCCATCCCTTAGCCAAGGACAATAAGACGATTATCGCTCAATTTCCGGATGATACAGACACTCAGTGTATTATGGACAGAGTAGAAGACTTTTGGGTCCGGTTTACTGTGTACACATGAACTTAAATTAGTGTAATGGTTAGTGAACTCAGAGATAATTGTGTTGTATAAACCTGCTCTCCACACAGCTCAGTAAGATCTAACAGATCCAACCACATCAGAAAAACGGATGACTAGAACTACTGAAACATGTAGGCTAAACCGAAAAATAATTGTAAGAGCAGGTAAGTTTTAGGAATGGTGTGAAATGGTTCAGAGTAGCCTACCAACGGTTATTACATGTAAGCCTACAAAGACGATTTTATTACACACCCTTCAAAGAAGACAATCTATAAAAAGTTGAAAACAACACATCATCTTGAAAATTTCAGAACAGATTTACTCAAGAAAAAATCCACAACCTGAGGGAGCAACTACAATAGGTACATACGCGATGAACACCAGTGGTTCTATCAAACCATCATAATGGCTAATGATGCAGAAGCACAGTAAAGGCAATAGGCTGCGTTATTATTCTTTTTTAGCTCTTTGAGCTAAATAAAAGATTAAATTATGAGTGCCAAATGGAGGGAAGAAGGTGCGACAAAAAGTTGATTTTTATGCTTGCCAGACGGGGATTTTACGGGAAAATTTACTACCAACCTACACCACAGCAAAATGCAAGTGACACACTACACGATAACGTGGTATAGGTCCGCTTTCAACGACACTAGAGCAAAAACGAAGATATACAAAAGGCATTGCCGAGTGTACGGTGCATCCGTCTCCGATCGGGAATGGCCGCACTCAACGTGTTAAAGGGAACATTCATTATTATTGATGATTTCATTTTGATGTGTGGATATGTTTTATAATCCGATTATATTGATAATAACAAATTGAAAAATATCAGCTGACAACTACGATAAGGATAGGTGGGCCTAAATAAATACAATAGAAAACTAGCCTACTTAGTGGAGAACTGTTATCCCCTCCAAGTCCGTTGAATGTTCTCTACTAAGTTAGTTTTCTTTGAGTTGCTTGCGCAAAGCGTGCAGTTAAACATATCTTCCACTTTAAGTTGTCAATTGATTTTTACCGACACTCTGCAGGTAACCAAAATTAAGACGCAAAAAGTTGCTATATTTGGCAGGAAAAGTAAATTACCTAATTTAGCTCACAGAAGTGGAAAACTTTGTGTAAAAAAAAACGTGTAGCCTAATCACGGCTTAATCCTTCTTGCCTTTTACGGATTAACCAGGTGTAACTTATCATCAATGACAAGGCAGTAAGTTATCAAGTGATAACAAGAATTTAGTAAAAATGATTATATTTTCTATCAACGAAAAGCTAAGGGACGTTCCTGACTCCCTACTATACGAGTAGGCCTACAGTTCTGCAAAGAACATGTGATAAGTTAGCCTAAATCGGATTAATAACCTAACCAGGGTTGGTACTAAATTTGGAAAACAAAATTCTCTGACTTTTCCAGGTTTTTCAGACTGATATTATACTTATTCCAGGTAAACCGCAACTCGATACCAAACAATCAAAATCAAGAAATAATAAAAAAATGTAAATATTTAACTTATTTAATCACTCCCTAAACTTGTTTCAAACTATGTGCATATCGATTCCTCCCCTGTACTGATAAATAACTATGGATATAAAAATGTGCATCAGTGCTTATATCTTTCTTTTTGCCATTTTTTTTCTTTTTTTCATGGGGAGGTGGTAAAAATGCATTTACGGACACTGAGATGCTCAAAGGCCACTCAGTAGTGCCAGACTCCCGCGGGCTCATTGTCCCCGGACTATCGGCTAAAAAACCTCCTCATTTCCTAGGATACTAGCCTGGAACTGTTTAGCACATTTCTTTGAGCTAGGCCTTTTAAACTACGCCCCTAGGGCTTTTCTTCTAGTTTCCTCAGAAAACTAAGGCCGATCGAGATCGACCTTCTTATCCCGAAGTATGGCCTCAACGAACTGCTTTAGGCCTACACGGTTCCAGGTTCCTTCCCCCTAAAGCATAGCTCCAACGATGTGGTCGGGAGTAATAAAATCGATAATATGGAGTAATATCGAGCGAGTAATATCGAGTAATATTTGCCACTAGTCACCACCCTGATAAAAACATGTTTAGGTGCAGAATGTAGCCTACATCATATCCGTAAAAATAGTAGTCTTTCAGGAGAAATTTCAGAATTTTTTCATAATTCCCTGACTTTTCCAGACCAACCAAATTCCCTGAACTTTTCCAGGTTTTCCCAGACCGTACCAACCCTGCTAGTTCGTTACAGTATTAACCTATCCAATTCATCGTTCCTATGTTTGTTTTTGCTAAAAACCGTATGTAAACATAGAATTGAATTATGATTTGATTTTTTTATAGCCCATTTACTATCAATAAAAACAATGATAGCCTATATTAGCCAACTAAATAAAATATTTAAGTAGGCCTAATAAAAAAAAAAAACAAAAAAACAACTAAGCACAAACTATGATGAACAAACAAGCCTATGATTTTGATTTTACGGGATTTTAGAAAATCAACTTAGTCACCAATACTGTTAATAGGCTGACCATAATATCACAGATTCTCTGTGGAACTGTACACATTGTTACAAAGTAGGCCTAGGCCTATCTCTACCGGTAAGTTACCTATCTCGTTTTTATTTGTCATAAAATAAACTAAGAAGGGTAACTTGACCTAGCTTAATCACTGCAGAGTATAGGCCTAATTAAGTTTCCTTGAAAAGACCCTATATAAGCTGTGACAGGGAGACTCGAGCACCAAGAGAAAATCGCCTACAGTGTGTACAAACAGCCGTGGCACCTGACGGATTAGGAGACCCTTGGATCTCGCACGCGCACTCACGAGCTTCTGGGTCTGACCTGCCTGACCAGGCGGATGACTGACCACTGGGGCGACCAGTAAGCGCTTATTTTTACCAAATCTCAAATTTTGATAAATTTAAGGGTTTAAGTTAACTTATATATAAATGTTCATTAAATAATTTTAAAAATGAATCCGAACACGACATGATTATGATAATATATGCATACAAACCTAATGAACTTTGTCGTAATTTCAAATGCCAATTTTTTAAATAGCACTTAAATAAGGACTAGGTATGTGGTTATATCATGTGAAATGAAGATAATTTTTATAATTAGGTCTACAATGTTAATTCACCGGTTAACTTAATTAGTTAGACCGCAACTACTGTAGTTACGGTAATTAATTTAATATATGGAACTAAACTTATGTATTTTTATGCATTTTATTCTCATCAGTTAGGCCTACTAGTTGCGTAATTTGATTGATCAAACCATAGCTTGTAACCTATGATATTGTGCTCGGCTGTATTTTTCCGTAAAACAACCACCTATAGATTTCGGCGTACGCGCAGTTTGTCATTTAGAGCCCTTTTATTATGACCCTCTCCTGTGTTCCTAGTATGACCATGATAACTTACAGACTGTGAAGGTATCCTTCCATTAGGTATTTTTTTCTTACCAATAGATTTTGGCGTGCGCAGTTTGCCATTTTAAGTATGACCCTCCTGCGTTCCTGGTGTATGACCATGATACTGACATGAGCGTTAAGTTGTTCTCTAACTCGTGACCATATAGGTATTAAGGTGCTCGGCCGTATTTTTCCGCAAAACGGCCACCAATAGATTTTGGCGTGAGCAATTTGTCTCTTTACACCCTTTGGCCTACCCTCCTGCGTTCCTGGTAACTTATAGCCTATGCCCATGATACTGACTTGTGCGGTCGTATTTTTCCGTAAAACGTAAAACACAGTGCCGTTTATTGATTTTTAAAAGCGCGGGCACTGCCTACTTACTTATTGGTGAGTTATTGGCAGGTTCACACAAGTCTACCTGGCATCCGGGCCAACTGCGTTTGAGCGTGTGTGTGTAAGGGTCTAACTTACTAATCCGGGGTACACTTCCATATCTGTTGGCATGAACAATCGAATGAATAATATTAACCCTTTGAGTGCCAACGTCCGGGGAACCGGACGTTTTTAGAACGAGCCAAAAGTGCCAACGTCCGGGTGACCGGACGTTTTCAGAACGAGCCAAAAGTGCCAACGTCCGGTTAGCCGGACGTTTTAAAAACGCGATATTAAAACGCGAAAAAGACGATTATATGCACATATTTTATATTCTTTTGAAAGAGAAAGACTTCCTCTTTGTAAATAATGCGTTGAATCGGCGATAATTGTAATCATTCACTTGTTATAGTACTACGTTTTCATATGTTGTAACACAGAGATCAAGATGGCTGTCACAGCTGGCGCGTAATTGTCGACATCGTATTTCACTGTCTGTAAACAAGTTTTTGGTTATGTGCGGTGTTTTTACGAGATGTTTTGTTATTGATTATTAGTAATGGATCGATCTAGATCTCCACTAAGTGACAATGCAATTGCAAGAACTCTAGATGACGACTTTTTAGATGATAGTTTTGTGAGTGAGGTTTCTGAAATTGAAAGTAGTTCTGGTGCCGAATCTGACAGTGACTCAATTTCTGATCTTGTGGATGATACCGATAGTGACCCCGATTACGACCCCTATGAAGGTAACAATCAACGTAGGATAGATAGGATATTACAGTCCTTTGGTAATAATAATTATTCAACAGATGAGGAGGAGGATAGAGTGGACAATCCTAGGCCTATGCCAGCACCAAACCCTGCACCAAGACGTCGGGGTAGACCTAGGTTAGATGCACCTAACCAAGAACAAAATCTTGAAAATAATGAGGATAGTGAGGATGGAACTGGTTGGACAGAAGTAAATGAAGAAAATGACCCTGGCGGCAATAATCCGTTTACTTTTCATGAATTGTCTGGCGTGAAACACTGTCCCCCTAGGAATTCATCTCCAATAGATTATTTCAAACTATTTTTTACTGTTGCTTTGTTTGATATGCTAGTAAAATATACAAACAAATTTGCTGTTAATTTTATTACTGCAAATACCCACCAACTCAAAGAACATAGCAGGGCCAAGTCCTGGAGACCGGTAACTCGAATCGAGATGCAGGCTTTTGTAGCAGTGCTACTAAATATGGGCCTAAATGTAAAACCTACAATATTTTGCTATTGGTCAAGGACTAGCAGTCAGTTTATGCCTTGGTTTCCAAGAATGTTCAATAGGAACAGATTTCAAGCAATCCTTCAGTTTTTCCACTTGGTTGACACAACAGAACTGCCTCGTCCGCGCGAACCTGGGTATAACCCGTGCGCTAGATTTCAACCAATAGTTGACCACATGAATAGGGTATCTAGGTTTCACTTTACTCCTAGTGAGAACCTTTCAGTTGATGAGAGCATGGTAAGCACCAAGGCCCACTCCCAGTTGTTACAGTATTTGCCCAAAAAGAGACATCGGTGGGGCGTTAAATTATGGTGCATTTGTGATTCTGTCACACACTACTGTATGTCCTTCTTTGTGTATCGTGGAGCTAAAGGACCTGACAAAAGGGAAATAACACAGAAGGGCCTTGGTTTCTATGTTGTTGAGAAACTACTGATGATGACAAACTTACTTGGCAAGGGGTACCACGTGTTTGTGGATAATTTTTTTACCACAATAAAACTAGCAAAGTTTTTGCTTACTCAGGCAACGAACCTCACAGGTACATTGCGAAAGAAAAGAAAAGGAATACCAGAAGTAATGAAAGAGAAATTTGAAGTAGGGCAGAAAAAGTATTTGAGGAAAGACAACCTCTTAATGGTAGGATATAGGCAAAAAAAATCACAGAAAAACCAAGTCCTATTACTAACAACCAATGGCAAAGCAGAGAGTGAGCGAAGGGCAAGGGTAAGGGGGACGTCAGTTCATGTCACAAATAAGCCTAAAGTAAGAAACTATAATGACTTCATGGGGGGAGTAGATGGCTGTGACCAAATGCTTTACCAATACTTAGATGACAGAAAAACTTTAAAATTTTGGAAGAAGGTCACATTTAATATTTTTAGCCGTATGCTCCTCAACTCCTACCTGCTGTACGAACTTAACACTGATAAACCAATGAACAGGCTGGCCTACATTTATTGTAGAGGAACTGGCCAAAGAATGGTTAGTTATCCAAGAAATGAGACCCAACATAACTGACATAACTAACATAACTCCGACCAGAATCTCCCGTGGTGGTGGCGACGCAGACAGCCCATTAGTCGAAAAAATTCCAGAAAACCGGGAAAAAAACTGCTGTGTTTGCAGCAAAGCAAGTACAAGAGAAGGTGGAAGGAGAAAGAAATCCACATTTATGTGCAAAAGGTGCAAAAAAGGATTGCACCATAAGTGTGTCACTCAACATCATTGCTAAAATATGTTCGCCAACAGTTTCGCCTTATTGTAAATATTTTTTGTATGTTATTATTTTACTCAAAAATGACTTTTTATTATTTTATCATTCAGATTTGGCACTAAAATAATTTATTGTATATAAGTTTAGGCCAAATTATTTGTAGAATAGGACTATGAGGCCATGATGACTTTAGTGTGTGATATCTGTGCTGCCGAGGAAAAATGTATAATATTACTAAAAACGTTGTTACCTCATTATTTGACTTTATTTTCTCATGAAACTTGGAATGTTTGTTGGCAGTTAAATATAAAACAGAGTGGTATGAGTTTTATTGAGTGAAACATTTTTTTCTCACATGATACACAGCATTGAATATGGAAGTTTTTTGAAAAAACTTTTCAAGGTATGTATTTTTCATCATTTTCACACTGCCTGCTGCATGAAATATACTTATAAATTGTGTTATATTGTAGAGTAGTTATTTCTCTGTAAATAAAAAAAAAATAATAAAATTGGTTGATAAATAAAAAAGTTATAGCGTTTATACTGAAGTATTGCTAAAAGCCACAAAAAGGGCCCGGCATTTTTGGGTAGGCCTAGTTATAACTCACATGGCACTTTAGTGTAGTACGTGACATAAAGTCTCCGGCACTCAAAGGGTTAATTATTCGATTATTTCATTCGATATATATAGTTTGGTTAGTTAGGTTAGGTTAACCACCTAACCGACCAAACGATATAAGTTATATACAGATATGGAAGTGTACCCCTAATCCGTCAAGCGCCACAGCTGTCTGAACGAAGTATAGTCTAAGGTAAGTGACCAGATCAGCCCTAAGTTAGTTTAGGCTAGGTCAATTACTGTACTGGTAGTACACACGTTTGTAGGCTTACCACGAAGGCTGGGCATATAAACTTGGGCTTTATATGACAAAACGATATTTGCAAATTAGCCATAGTAACTAGCCTAAGTAGGCCCTAATTCCTTCAATTGACCAACTTATGCTGAGCACTCAATCTTACATCACTGAGAACTCCCTGAGGACATGGTCAATCCTTCAAGCCAATAATGAGGTCAAAACCTATAGTTAGCCGATAATCTTATGAAGATGATGTTTACAATATGGATACTAATGTATTGAACTGTTCTAGGCTAGTTAGAATAAAAATTAATTTTGTGTAGTCAAATTGTTGGGGAACATTCAACGTAAGATACTGTTATGAGAATCTGGGAAAGCCACGCAGTCTGTTTATTAATTTGGGAAATTAGAACGTTATCGTTCATAAGCTACTCAAATTACTTACCTCATTGCTATCACCATTGATGTATTCTACTATTAATGACCGATGATCTTCTATAAGTAGTGCATTGTTAATTAAAAGTGCAAAAATAAAACCAAAATCACCACAAAATCACTCCCTTGTTCTGGAATCAAGATGGCGGAACGTGAAATGAGAATAAGAAAATAGAGAAATTTGAGTACTTTACGTCACACAGAAAAAAGCAAATCAATAAAGTGAACACAAATCAACCTTAAATTATATATATAATAGTACATTAAAAAATAATAAAATTCCTGTATTGTAGTTTTTCGTTACTTTATTAAAGAATAAAGTGGTCATAGATAGAGCTTTGATACATGTTTACTGGCTTGTAATATTTTACAAATGAAATTAATGAAGATAGTAACTAATTACTCAAAATAAACGCCCTGCTAGGCTGCTGTACCGTTTAAAGGTGGTTCAAAGTCAAAGCTAAAAATAATTAATCACATAAATAATTAATTTTGATACTCGTACAAAATATACTTTCGAAATTTATTATTTTATTTTACATTTAATATGCTACAAATTACTTTGAGAAAATATTTTGGTTGCTAAATAACATTAAAATTTCAAACGCATTGTCAAACCATAGATGAATAGTTATTTGTGCAACTAGTGAGAAAAGTGAGCAATTGACTCACTCGAGAGAAATCCTTACTCACGAGCCGTAGGCGAGTGAGGAATGGTTTCTCGAGTGAGGCAATTGTACTTTGAACTCGAGTTGCACATTATACTTTTCCTACAGTTACCATAAAAAAAATAAATTGGTGAAGAAACATAACCTATTTTTACACAGAAGTGAACTTTTAATATAACATTCAATGTGAAGTGACAAATACAACAGTACAACAGCTGACCAGCTGATTTACAGCCAGTGCTGCCAACGTATTTCGCGCGCATACGACGTTGCCTGCATGTTACGCGCTCACTATTTCGTGCCTTCACGTTGCAAATCTGGAGTGAGACAAAGTAATTAGAGTGAGACAATGTTAACATTGTCTCACTGATGAGCGAATTGGCCACTTTGCTTTCTCAAATCAGTGAGAGAACATGTACATTGTTAGGTGACTGTAGGAAAACACATATATTGTTGTAAAACCGGCTGAACTACATTAAAAATGTAATAATTAATAGCCCAGCCACAGCTAGATAGCATGCTTAGACCATTACTATAGTTTATATAGTCAAATGCTTGACTTTTGATAACTATCTATAACTAAGTTTACTATAGTCATAGCTTCAAAACTTATGATTCTTTTTCAAGTCCTGAAAGTACGTTAGGTTAGGTGGTTTTACGTTTTGTTTTTATGTGGTTGAAGTCATGTGAGCCGACGGTGTAAACTAGGGCGTTGATGTGATTACAATTATTTTTTCTTGATTTACTTGTGGTCTAAATTATTAAAACCCTTTTTTATGAAGTCTCCCTAATGTCCTTTTCAGATCATTGTGAGAGGTGGCGTATCTATGTGTGTAGGCTACAAGCAATGCAACAGGGTAAGTTTGATGCCATATCTAGCTTGAAATGGACAGTGGACACTATAAGTGGCCTATAGACCACAAAGAAAGGGTTCAAATATAAAACGTGCGTTGATATTTGTTTATCGAACATTGAAGTACGACACAGCTTTGTTTTGCAAGAAATTCTCATCGTAGTCGTGGGTCACTCACTGACTCATTGTGAAGAATCCTGGTGTATAGGTTAGGTACAAATATAGATCTACATAAGATTTTCTCAAAACCACTCACTTAATTGTGAGCAGTTTTTTTTCTGGGAGGGAGGAGGGGGAGACCTAGAAGAGCATTCTAAACCAAAGTACCACAAGGACGCTGAATGAAAACAATTCCCCCATTGCTCTATTGAGCTTTAATTTTATTTTTTATACATCCCAAGTAGCTAGTATTTTAAAATTTAATGTTTTATTATGTAATATGCAAATTATCACATTAAAGTCCATTTGTACCACTAAAATAAAAAAATAAATAAAAAAAAATAAATGAAGTTTGTTTCCCATACGGCTGTCATAATAATTTGTGTATTATAACTTTCAAAGAACTTTCATGCACAGGTCATGCTATTATAAGCAATGTTTCAGAAAGTAGCAAATAGTCATGTAGTACTGTGTAAGTATAATGGGTTTTGTTTTCCATACCTTTTTCTCAGGTTTATTATTTTTCGTATGTTTATACTGTACTTACAACGCAAAGATAGTTGCATCTTTTTACCTTCTTAATTTATTATTCACGTGGGCCACTCAATACTTTATAATTTTAATATTCAAGATTATCACAGTGCAGTCTTTGCCTATACGATTACTTTGTATTTTACCTATTAAACTCTATTTAAACATAATTTAATTAATAGATTTACATATTTACAAAGTAATTCTTGATCATAAATCTTGATCATTACTTTACAGAGATTAAAATCCCATTTGTTCCCTTTACAACAACCCCTTTACCCACAAACGAATACCCAAAATGCACACTTACCACGTACTTATGCAAAATTGAAGCAAAGTCCAAGTCAACCTTATTAAACTCTCTGCCAAGTAGCCACAAATGAGTTAACCCAACTTCACACGTCTAGGTCGAGCTTTGTGTGAAGTTTGGCCACATTCTCTCCTCTTCTCTTTCATCTCTTTAATCGTTTCTCACCTTCCCGCTCCTCCATAAAACATCCAACCTCCTGCTAACTTATGGATACTGATGACAGAGGCAATGAGGCTGCTGGGTAATGTTATACGCTCCGAGTAAATCTACTGTGTGGAGGGGGAGACCCATTCTATATGATGAACTTACCGCCAAAATCTGCGCGGCAAAATTATGGCGAAACTTTGCAGCCTTGACAGGACGGATCTCGTGGAGCGTGGGAATTGTCAGTTACAGTTTGGAAGGAAGAGTTTATTTTGAATTAAAGTTTTTTGGGGTTTTTACTGAATCACGTAGATATAAGTCTTACTACCCCTAAATGTTCAAATGGAAAAAACAATAAACAGGATGATTAGTTTTAGAAATTGTACTCTCAATCTCCAAAGCAGCTGGGGAGCGAGCTGGCGTAGCGGTTAGAGCGTGGTACTTCAGTCCCTGAGGTCCCGGGTTCGATCCCCGCTAAGTCACCAATGGATTTCACCTAAGTGACAATGCCGCAACCCCTAGGTCTAGCCTGAAGTAATGTGGAAAACAATCCCAGGCTCGTGCCTTCGATATATAACTGATGGCTCCTGCCTAGCGTCCTAGGGAAAAAAATCTCCAAAGCAGTAACAAGTTGTCACAACATTCAAAAGAGTGCATAATTTCTTCATTGTTTACAATGTTATGCTGTTGCTTTGGACCAGTTCTCTAAAGTTGGGCTTAGTAGTTCTCAAGAGGTTCGTAAATATCCCTTTTAATTCAATGTTAAGGGGTATTAAGTCTATAATATTTTTTGAATATGGGACTTTTTAAAATAAATTTTCATAGGTACTCCAAGAATGTGTATCTTTAATTTAGAATAACAGTAAGAACTATAAAAAAAACATGTCGGCTCTACTTACTTAACGAATTAAACAAAAAAGTTTATTACGAACTGTCATCCTTGAATTTAATCATACTAACACTAAACCTCCACTTTTAAGACTTAATAAGCCGAAACTGTAGCAGGTAGTGAAGAGGAACACAATAAAAGTGAGAGATAGGCGTAAAGAATGATGGCAAGACTCGGATGGGGGAGAAAAATTGTTGTTTGTTTTTCAAGGGGCGGTGGCACAGACATCAAGAGTTACGGATAAATCTTCACTCGATAAAACCCCTCCCTCCAGCGCGGGAAAAATGATAATAAAAAACAGAAGGGCGGCGTAAAGAAGCGGGAAAAGTAACAGAAGTAGAGTAGTTTTGGAGGGTAAACATAGCCAGCGTTGACAGGTCGAGATACACTGTTGTACACTGACTACCTCTGGTGGAGGCGGAGGGTGTGAGGTTGTTAGGATTTATCTCCTTATCACTTTGATCCATGGGTACTTGGTACTTTGTTAAATATAAACGATTTCAATATTTTTTACAGTCTTCACTTTGAAGAAAATTGATTCCACTTCCATGCGTGTGTGCAAATTCTTTGTAAAAGGTGCATTAAACACTTGAAAAATTATTATTAGTATACATTTCAATTTACTAAGATATGTGACTCTCCAAATGTGTTATCTTTTAAAGCATATTTATTTTGCACTCTTTTTGGTAAAATTTTTATCAAACTTCAACTTCAATTGCTAACAAGCATCAGATTTTTTGTTCAGACTTTCAATTCATAAATTAAGAGGGCCTCTCAATTTATGAATTGAAAATCTGTTTTAATGTATTATTTTTAACAATGGTAGAACCTATCAGGTTGGAATGCAATTATATGTACAGTTGGTTAAAAAAACACTATATTTTATCTGCGTCTTCACCCTCTTGCGAATCACGGTTAAAGCTACGTATGTAATAAATACGTCGCCATGGATGATTTTTACTTTCTCGGGGCTATACATAGTATATGGAGAAAGTAGTATTGTTTTCGTTAAAATTTTCTAGTTTGAGTTTTGAGTGGTTATATACGTTTTGGGCCCCCTTGAACCCAAAAAATTGGTTTTCGAAGTGATGTCTGTCCGTGAATGTCTGTCTGTATGTGTACCTACCCGTTGTGCGATTTTAATGAAATGTGGTATGTAGGTACTATTCTACGGTATATCCAGGTATTTTTCAATTTTTTTTTAAATTTTGATTTTTAATGGTGCTTTTCCATAAAACCCATAAACTAACGGAAAATCCAAATTTTCTCGAAAGTGGCCCGAACGATTGATATACAAATTTAGTATGTTTTAGCCATTTATATTCTGAACTAAATGGTAGTACTCCCATTCCTGTAAAATTTACATTTCAAAAGTTATCGTAGCTTACGTTGTTTTCCCATAAAACCCCCATAAAATAAGAGAAAATCGGATTTTCGAAAAAGCCGGTTTTGATTTAAATGTGTATGTGATGGTCCTTATAAAATAATTCCAAACAAAATAGTTCAACCCCCTATTCCTGTAAAAATTACGGTTCAAAAGTTAATACAACTTTTGTGATTGCACCCATTAAATATCATA